CCTTGGCAAGCAGTAGGGGGCACGAAATCTTCAGTTGTCCCTGGGCGGTGAAAACCCTAGCTACGACTCTGCATAAATTGTCACTAAATGATATGATTTACCACCAATAATGGATAAGCATGACATCATAACATAAAACATAAAAGGTTTAATTTGGTTTAAGTTAATTCTAGATAAGCCGGTTTAATTTTTGAAAGGAAGGATATAAGTTCTATTCTTCCCTTACAATTTGAAGAAAAAAAAAAAAAAAAATAATATTTAGGACTGCATGAAGTGAAGTGTTATTAAAGTTACAGGATCTGGACATTGTAAAAAAAAACTGTGGTACACGACTTTGAAAGCTGATAAACAGTGGCAATATAACATGAAAAATGATGGTAAGTGATTTAAGTTTTTTTTATATTCTATTCCCGTAATCTGTATTTCTTGATGATCTAACTAAATAAAGAACAATATTTTCTTTAAACTCGGAATGACTGGCGACATCTCCGTAAACTTTTGCGTTTGGTTTCAACATAATCGAAATATATCAGCTTTTGTGACTGAAATATGTCTCCTCCCCTCCCAAAAAAAAATTTATGTAGGCTTTTGCTATTCAAATTGGTACCAAATAAGAAGACTGTTTTTATAATTTTAGAGTGGAAATTTTTCCCACTCTCACATGAATTCCATTTTTATACACTCATCCGAAATTCGGCATTCTCCAAGCTTTCGGGATAACCAAGCTTGTACTGTATTAATATTTTGACATTCACGTGTACAATAAAACTATTTTTGTCTACTGCTGGCATTGTCATCATTATATGAGTCGTCTGAATCATTCAAGAACAGCAGGATATATCAATTTCTTTGACATGTTATAAGGTATTTCTCCCGCTTTCTTAGCATGCCTTCGGGGTGTAATGGTCAGCAGGCTCGGCGCGTATTCGAGAGATCCGTGGTTCGAGTTCCGGCGAGGGCATTGCACGTTTTTCACGTTCCCCGCATCGAAATAACCTAATATCTCTACAATGCATTTCAGAAGAATTGGGAAATTCTACATCGTTTACATTTTAATCTTAATATATCAAGTATTCGTATTTTCTTCAGAATATCAGATTCAGTTGATACATCAGATAAACTTATATTGCATTTATCTTGTAGAAACATATTTCCTTGTTGGTTTGCAATTATTACGTGTGTTAATCTCGCGTTTTGTGTAAATTTACAAACTATAAAGTGTGGTATGCAAATGACATGCTGCAGGTTTTGTACATGACGTCAGCGATTCCAACTTTGTAACAGTAGACTTTTGTCCTCTCTGCACGCAAAACAAGCAAGATAACACTGGCATTTGTCTGCCACTTTGCACGAAACCAGTATGGTAATGTGCTGTGTCTGTGGGTTGCCCTGAGTGTTTGTTACAAAGAGCACATACTGGAGAATTTTTCAACTGAAAAATCTCCAGTATGTGCTCTTTGTAACAAACACACAACTCACTCAAACACTTTCCTAAATAATTATATCCCTTATTTAGGAAACGTCAAATCCTTTCCGTAGCTTTTGCACAAAATCTGAATCCTGAATCTTGCCAAATTCTGTATTTATTTATCAATATTTTAACCAACGGGTTTCCAAACTTTTTAGCCTGTGGCCCGAATTGGCTCTTTCGTGAAGCTTCGAAGGCCAAGAGCTAATTAATTCAGCATACCAGGATGATGTAATAGTGTAAGTAGAATACACATGCTTTTAAGCAAGACAATGAGATTTTTTTTGATTGAATCTAATCTGATATGAGGACACGAAGAAATATGATTTTTAGACTTTATAAAGTATTTTCTTCCTCCTTCCAGCATGCCTTCATGGTGACACGGTAGCATACTCGATGCGTATTCGAGAAGTCCTGGGTTCAAGTCCCGGGGAAGGCACTGCACATTTTTCACATCTCCTGCTCAAAAACGCTAAACACTCTACAGTGGCGACCGAATCAAAAAAAAAAAAAAAAAAGTGGTGGACGATAATTCGTCACCACCAGGATTTGGCGATTGGGCCTCCTAATCCCCGCTCGCCTTTAAAAGGGGGAGTATATATGGTGTTTTCTCTCTCCTTCCAGCATGCGTTCATGATGTAACGTAAGCGCACTCGACACGTGTTCGAGAGGTCTAGAGTTCGAGTTCCGGCTTGCACACAAAGGGATTGCACATTTTTTTTACATCTTCAAAAAATATAATGACTATAATTTTCCTGCAGTTTCACCTAACATAAATTTCTTAAATACAGGGTGTTTATATATTTTCCTTTTCAGGTTTGAATATTTTTACTTTTGTAAATATCGTCTGCGCGCGTGGTTAATTTCAGATAGTTTTATTTTCCAGTCTAAATATCTGTACTTTTCTAAATATCGTCTGCTTATTAATTGCGTTTTTCTCTCTTTGTTTTTGGCAACTATTGCAATGTTATGTTTACTTTTGATGTGTTTGTCCTAGTACTTTTGTATGTAATGTTTTATTCGACCGGATATTAAGGAGAATGCATACACCACAAGAGAAAGCACAGATTTTATGGTGGTTCATAGAAACGAAATCCATAATGCAAACACAGAGAAATTGCAGAAGAATTTACCAAAAAGATCCTCCATCCAAAAGTAGCATCTTGCGGTGGAAAATGAATTTTCTAGAAACTGGAAGTATGGCAGATAAGAAACGTTCCGGACGTCCCTGCACAAGTGATTTTAATGTTGAGCGTGTCAGAGAGACATTTTTACACAAATCCTAGAAGATCTGTGAGATCAGCGGCAACAGAATTGGATATGCCAATTTCGACGGTGTGCAAGGTTATTAAGAAAAAATTAAGACTGCATGCATACAAAGTTCAAATTGTTCAAGTTTTGAAATTGGACGATAGGCCTAGGAGAATGGCCTTTGCAAAAGATATGCTAAGGAGGATAGAAGATGATGCTCTGAATTTCTGAAGCGCGTAATGTTCTCCGACGAAACATTCTTTCATCTTTCTGGCATTGTTAATCGCCATAATGTGAGCATATGGGGATCTGAAAACCCCCATGAATACCGTGAGGCACAAAGGGATTCCCAAAGGTTAATGTGTGGTGTGGCCTAATGCACGACCGAGTCATTGGGCGTTTCGTTTTTACAGAAAAGAAAGTCTCATCAGTCGTATACTTAGACATGTTGGAAAACTTCGTATTTCCACAACTAGAAGAGCTTCAGCCACATGTCTTTTTGCAACAAGATGGTGCACCACCTCATTGGGTTACCATCGTTCGTAGTTCTTTGAATGGCCATTTTACAGGAAGATGGATTGGGCGAGGAGGTCCAATTCCTTGGTCACCCAGATCACCTGATATAACGCCGCTGGACTTTTTGCATTGGGGATTTGTAAGGGACAAAGTTTACAGGAGTAGAGTGGCGGAAATTGATGAGCTAAAAGCCAGAATTACAACCGCAATAGCCTCTGTGGATGCCGACATGCTTGCCGGTACCTGGCGTGAAATTGAATATCGACTTGATATTCTCCGTGCGACGAAGGGGGCACACGTGGAAGTTCGTTGACAAGGGTCATGAAACTTTTTGACTCTATCTAACCATATATGTTATTAATTTTAATCTATCTTTATTATTATTTTATGAGTTATTAAACATCAAAATGGGTGCGGGACTTTATAAACACCCTATATTATTCTTGTCCCAGAATATCGGAGATTTCTTCGATTTGCAATGTAACTTTAAGTAGATTTGCCTTCTAATTGTAACGATTTATGAATGTATTTTGTTTATACTTTAATAAAGTGCAAACTTTTACTCATACGTATTTCATATTTTGGACAAGTTGTGTGCGAAAATAAAAGCTCTAAAATTAAAATAAATTGTAACATATACTGAACAAAATTTCTATGAACAAATCTAGAATACTACTACGAAAACCGGCTGGTAACATATAAAACCTTTCTTTTCTTAAAAAGTATACTAATAAATTTTTTAAGAGTTTTACTGTAATTCACTCATTGTAATTAGAAACAATGTTTATGAAGGATGTGCATGACAGGCAATGTATTTATACACTGCGCTCCAAAAGTTAAGGAACAGTATGTTTTTTATGTCTAATTTGAGAATGTACAAGAAAATGATAGGACAGGTTCACTAAACAGTTCTATAATGAATGCGACATAGAATTTTTCTAAAAGTCTACACAAACATGAATTACAATAAAAAATAGCACTCTTGGCAGAGAAATCCAGTCTCGGAGAAACAATACATGACAGCCTTTTAAGGAAAAATATGATTGTAACGTTACAGAAATGGTTTCTAATAAGGAATGTGTCCATCCATAGCTGCAATACATTGGCGGCAGCGACTTTCCATGCTGGCAATTAAGTTACCGGTCAGTGAAATGGGAAGCAACGACCAGAGCTGACACGGATTCATGTCTGGGGATTGAGCTGGCCATACCATCCGCTGAATTTTGCTCAAGATATTTTTCGGCAACTCGAGCTCGGTGCGGTTGCGCATTGTACTCCATAAGAAGAAATCCAGGACCAATATCAGCAGCATATGGGCGGACATATAGATCAAGGATCTCATCACCATACCTCACACCCATGGAACATATGCAGATCAGTGTGACTTCCGAGAGAGATAACCCAAACCATTATTCCACCACCTCTGTAACTGTTTCCAAAGTGTGGGATTGGTTGTATCTAGTGCGTTATTCTTTCCAGATCAGCTGATGGACTGAATCACTCTCCATTGTAAACTTGAAGTCGTCTGTGAAGAGAACATTGTTGACTGATCCAGGATTTGACGGACATTTTTTCGCGGGGGGGGTCATTTATAATTATTTTTATTATTACTTAAATTCTTTTAATAGTATATATAATAGAACTAACATTGCAATTGCGGGTAAACTGTAATTTTGCATTTTATTATTTATTTATTTGAAATGATATCTTTGGAAATGAATAAACCTCTACATATTAATAAACTAAAACTTCCACTACAGGTAGGCGGAAATTTAAGAAAGGGGAAGAGCAAAAGATTGTAAATATCTGTCACGATTTAAATTCTAACATTTAATAGCGTAGCTGAATCTAAACCAAGTATAAATATAATGAGGTAAAAGTCATTTTAAGCACTTGTCTATCTTTACGCATTGTATGTCTTCTTTGATCGACTTAATTTGAAAAAGATATGTTCATATAAAATCGTTTTAAAATATATATCTGTAACGTATTATATTTTTTCAAAAAGTATATAGGTTATTAATCTGAATAAGTTTTATGTAACTAGATTTCCTCATTATTTAAACAGATATCGTCGTCATTCTGAAAACAGTTTTCGAAACTTATGCACATCTGACCAATTCAAAAATAATGCAGTGGGTTAAACATTAAGATGATATTTTAAGCTTTTATTATATGTTACCCACACTAGATAACGTATGATAATTTTATTTATTGGCCAAAATTAGGCAGATGTTTAACTACCACTTTTGTTTTAATTCACAGTATTAATATTTTATTTTGAATATTATTTTAATTATACTTCATACTGGTAATGGGACTGTATTCAGAAATGTATGTATTGATATCATTACACCCCCAGGGGGTGCAGGAATGTATTTTGGGGGGTGCCGGAGAAAACCCTACCTAACCATAAAAATTATTAAATATCATTTATTAAATTTCTTATAATAAAATATTTGAAATCTGCAATAGTGTCCCTAATATTGAAGCTCATAAAAATGGGTAGCACCTAGTTCACTTATCGGCGAAAGACACAGGAAAGAGCCAGTGCTGATGGGCGTATACACTACGCTACGAAAAAGCATAAAACGCTACTAACGAAAGCGAACAGGCAGCTAGGTTATGGAGAAAAGAAAAAAACTTTGTGGGAATACAAGCGGAGAATGTTATCCCAGCTTGCGCATGCGCTGAGTTCAATATGTGCTACTCCAATGGAATCTAGGGATTCACAGATTTGTATCTGCATCTACTGCGCCTGTGTCAAGTTGAGTCAACTATTGAGTCTGTGACATGTGTATTGTGTATTCTGACTTGTCCAGAAACCTCTTAAGACTAATACATTCTTAATTGGCTGTTCAAGCTGAATAGGATTCAGTGATATTACAAACGTAAGAACATTATATATCTTATATTACATTATTTCTAAATAATTAAATCGATTATAGTGAATCCCACTATGTCAAAAAAAAAAAAAAAAAACAATGGAACGATAAGTATGCCGGTTATGGATTTACCTGCAGAACCGAAAAAGATGGCACGCAACGACCGCAATGCATCTTGTGTTCCAAAATATTTTCAAACAGCAATCTCAAACCATCAAAGTTATTAGAGCATTTCAACAATCTGCATGGTGGCAAAAAAGCGCATAGCATGAACAGCTTGAAGTCAAAGAAGGCTCGGTTTGATACCAGTGGAACTATTCTAAAATTGTGTGGACCAGCAATTCAGAAACCTTTATTAGAAGCGTCAGATCAAGTGGTATATTTATGTGCAAAAAAAAAAAAAAAAAAAACCTCACACGATCGCTGAAGAGTTGATTAAACCTTCTGCTTTAATTATTGCTAAAACAGTTTTAGATTCGGAAGCACATAAAAAAATGCAACAGATTCCATTATTGAATGATATTATACGATCGCGAATACAAGATCTCAATGAAGATATTTTAATGCAAGTAATTGAAGACATAAAAGTCAGTCCACTGAAAATAAGCATGCAGCTGGATGAGTCAACTGATGTTGATAATTGTAGCCAACTTTTGGTATTTGTCAGGTATGTGAAGGAAAAAGGGGTGATAGAAGAATTTCTGTTGGTTGATCTTTACATTATGGTAACTTGGCGTTTTTTTGACGAAAATTTGGCGACCAACTCTCCTACAGCAACCCTCTATTTTTTTTCCCCGCCGCCATTTTGTCTTCACGAAGTAAAGACATGTTTCTTTTCTTTTTATCTACTGAACACTTCTTCCAACAATCTACTAGCCAAATTACACTTATGCTAGAAATTTTCTCTAACAAAACTGCTTAATCATGACAAATATTCACTGCAAAATGGGAAAAAAGTGCACAATACCATACTCCTTACGCGTTTTCAAAATAACACGTACACATAAACCATGTACACGCCCCGACTTATTTTTACTTAAAAAAAAATCCCAGAATTACACAAAAATGGCATTGCGCACACTCTTCACTATATCCATGTACACTGCCTTATTTATTTTTTGCAATTTTCTGAATCTTCAAACCCGGTAAAAAGAACATATATGAAATTACCTGATCACGAAAAAGTTTATACCTTTTCCAAATATGAACATTTCCACATATAAAATAAATAAAATATCCAAAAACTTTTACCTCTAAATCATCTATTATATTATACACATCACCAACGAATTCATACCGTAAGCATTACAAATACTTAGTGTCAAATATTTAAATTATTTCCATGCACGTTTACTCAACTTAAACGTATACCAAATTCCTACAAACATAAATTCACAAAATAACTATCATTTAATTAAAATATCACTAAACCATGTACACGTCGACTTATTTTTACTTAAAAAAAACATCCCAGAATTGCACAAAATGGTATTGCGCACACTCTTCCTATATCCATGACACTGCTTTTTTCTCAAAATTAGAAAAATTTCACGAAAATACATGACAATTTTCTGAATCTTTAAACCCGGTAAAAAGAACATATATGAAATTACCTGATCACGAAAAATTTTATACCCTTTCCAAATATGAACATTTCCACATATAAAATAAATAAAATATCCAAAAACTTTTACCTCTAAATCATCTATTATATTATACACGTCACCAACGAATTCATACCGCAAGCATTACAAATACTTAGTGTCAAATATTTAAATTATTTCCATGCACGTTTACTTCAACTTAAACGTATACCAATTCCTACAACATAAAAATTCACAAAATAACTATATTTAATTAAAATACACTAACCATGTACACGTCGACTTATTTTACTTAAAAAAACATCCCAGAATTGCACAAAAATGGTATTGCGCACACTCTTCACTATATCCATGTACACTGCTTTTTTCTCATAAATTAGAAAAATTTCACGAAAATACATGACAATTTTCTGAATCTTTAAACCCGGTAAAAAGAACATATATGAAATTACCTGATCACGAAAAATTTTATACCCTTTCCAAATATGAACATTTCCACATATAAAATAAATAAAAATCCAAAAACTTTTACCTCTAAATCATCTATTATATTATACACATCACCAACGAATTCATACCGTAAGCATTACAAATACTTAGTGTCAAAATTTAAATTATTTCCATGCACGTTTACTTCAACTTAAACGTATACCAAATTCCTACAACATAAAATTCACAAAATAACTATCATTTAATTAAAATATCACTAAACCATGTACACGTCGACTTTTTTACTTAAAAAAACATCCCAGAATTGCACAAAAATGGTATTGCGCACACTCTTCACTATATCCATGTACACTGCTTTTTTCTCATAAATTAGAAAAATTTCACGAAAATACATGACAATTTTCTGAATCTTTAAACCCGGTAAAAAGAACATATGAAATTACCTGAGCACGAAAAATTTTATTACCTTTCAAAATATGAACATTTCCACATATAAAATAAATAAAATATCCAAAAACTTTTACCTCTAAATCATCTATTATATTATACACGTCACCAACGAATTCATACCGCAAGCATTACAAATACTTAGTGTCAAATATTTAATTATTTCCATGCACGTTTACTTCAACTTAAACGTACCAAATTCCTACAACTAAAATTCACAAAATACATATTAATTAAAATATCACTAAACCATGTACACGTCGACTTATTTTACTTAAAAAACATCCCAGAATTGCACAAAAATGGTATTGCGCACACTCTTCACTATATCCATGTACACTGCTTTTTCTCATAAATTAGAAAAATTTCACGAAAATACATGACAAATTTTCTGAATCTTTAAACCCGGTAAAAAAGAACATATATGAAATTACCTGATCACGAAAAATTTTAACCCTTTCCAAATATGAACATTTCCACATATAAAATAAATAAAATATCCAAAAACTTTTACCTCTAAATCATCTATTATATTTATACGTCACCAACGAATTCATACCGCAAGCATTACACATACTTAGTGTCAAATATTTAATTATTTCCATGCAGTTTACTTCAACTTAAACGTATACCAAATTCTTACAAACATAAAATTCACAAAATAACTATCATTAATTAAAATATCACTAAACCATGTACACGTCGACTTATTTTTACTTAAAAAAATCCCAGAATTGCACAAAAATGGCATTGTGCACACTCTTCACTATATCCATGTACACTGCTTTTTTCTCATAAATTAGAAAAATTTCACGAAATGCATAAACAATTTTCTGAATCTTTAAACCCAGTAAAAAGAACATATATGAAATTACCTGATCGCGAAAAAATAATACCCTTTCCAAATATGAACATTTACCGTATAAAATAAATAAAATATCCAAAAACTTTTACTACATTATCTGTATATTACAAAGGTCACAACTAATTTACCTTTACTCATTACAAATGGTTACAAATACTTAGTGTCAAATATTAAATTATTTCCATGCACGTTACGCAAAATTATTTACTTCCACCTTACATTTAGAACAAGCATAAAAATAATCCTCAAATATTAAAAAATACTAACTTACCTATTCTTCTTCAGAATCTTGATTACGTGTCCGATAAACTTTTCTTATTCATCCGCTAAATAAAAGCAAGCGTATGTGCGCCTGTTTCAGGATCTTTAAAATCATACTTATAGTAACACCAAGGGTACCAGGAAAAATAAATAACTTAATAAAACATCTTTACTTCTATCTCGCACAACCTTAAAGAAACACTTATTACTACTCCTTTCAATCCCACTAAATACCCATTTCGAATTCACTTTACATAGGGCCATGGGATCCAAAAATTAATCAACACTGTTTCACACAACACACTATGAAGCTAAATACAAAATGCTAAACGCAATAAAAATTTCCAGATTTTTTCCCGAT